TTTTCTTACTTTTTAATGATTTTACAAGTAATCCCTACCCCCCACAGGGTTTGAATCTATAACCCTGAGATCAGGCGTCATACCAACCCAGCCGGCCAGGCACCCTTCCGTGTTGGGGTTTGGGTCACTGACACGGAGACCCAGCCTGGCCCTGGTCCCTTTCCAGCTGCCCCTGGCTGAATAAGCAAGGGTGTGGGGTGAGGGCAGGGCAATGCAGTAGGTCCCCGGAAAACAGATGTACAAGTGGATGCCCTCCCCTTTGCCAGGGGTCCAGCACCTGGAGGCCTCGCCCCTTCTGTGCTTGATCCTCCGTGTTCCTGCCAGCATGGGGGAGATGGGGCAGCTCGCACTGTCCCCTGAGGGATGGGACCTAGAGGCCTTTGGGGGGAAGGTGAATTCAAGGCCGTGCACAGCCCATGAGAGGGCTTGCCAGGGCTCCGTCTGCAGTGTGTGTGGGAGGGTGTCTCTTTGCTGTGGCTCTGTCCCCAGGCCAGCCCCAGGCCAGAGCCCAAGATGGAGTGCAGGGCTGTGGGGCCCCTCTCACTGACCACGTCTCCCCTCAGGATCATCCAATGGTTTGTCCTAAGCTTCAAGTATGTATTTGGCCTTCGTTTCGAGATAAAGGGTCGCCAGAAGCTGGAGTTGGACCACCCCTGTGTCATCATTTCTAACCACCAGAGCATCCTGGACATGATGGGTAAGCCAGGGCTGCAGGGGGGCTGCTGGGGGAACTTGGGGGGTTGCTTCAGAGAGGTGGAGCCTGGGCCTGGATGAGCTGGGGGGCCAGGAGGGCAGACCCAGGCCCAGGGGACATGACAGCTCTCTGTGTGCCTGATGCTGGGTCCAGGGCTCTGCCTCTCACTCTGGCACTGGGAGCTCTGCTTCACCCCTCCCTTTACATGCGGGGTGACAGGCTGAAAGGCCAGATGGCTTGGCCAGGTAGCCAGTGGGAAGGCATGACCTGGCCCAGGCCTGTTGGTGGTCGAGGCACGGGGCTGGTTCTCTCCGCCTTGGGGAGGTGGCTGCCAGGCTCTGAGCATGACCCCCACCTGCCTGGGGCCCCGTGGCCACCTGCAGGCCTTATGGAGGCCCTACCCGAGCGCTGTGTGCAGATCGCCAAGCGGGAGCTGCTCTTCTTGGGGCCTGTGGGCCTGATTATGTACCTCGGGGGCATCTTCTTCATCAACCGGCAGCACTCCAGGACCGCTGTCACCGTGATGGCCGATGTAGGCGAGCGCATGGTCAGGGAGAATGTGAGTGTGGGGCTCGGGGCCTGCGTGGCTATGTAGATGCTCCAACTCTGGGCACACAGAGGTCAGGAGCAGGGCTGTGCATGAGCCAGGTGGGTGGTGGTCTCAGCTGAGAATGGGGCTCCCCAGGAGGGGGGCTCCCCAGGAGGGGATGGCGGCCTGGGACTGCTATAGCTGCCTCCTCTCCCTCTCCCTGCAGCTCAAAGTATGGATCTATCCTGAGGGCACACGGAATGACAATGGAGACCTGCTACCTTTCAAGAAAGGTGCCTTCTACCTGGCCATCCAGACCCAGGTACTTCAGGGCACTGCCTCCCAGAGGGTCCAGGGGGACTTAAAGCTGGAGGCGACTGCTTAGCCAGGCTAGGGCCACCGGCGCTCACAGAGCACCTCCCACCAGGCAGGCACAGGGCCTTATGGCCCCTGCAGCACCTGGTTTCTGACCTGCTGGGGGGCAGATCTTTGGGCCCTTTCCCCACCCTGAGCATCAAGGCTGGTGCCTGAGCAGGTCCAGCAACCAGGTACCATCACACTTGTCACCTGGGGGCTGGCGCCTGGGGCTTCAGCACCCCCGCCCCCGTAGCCAGCCAGGCAGTGCCCCCAGAAGGCAGAGGCTGTGGGCCTACTTGCTGGGAGCTCTCAGGAAGGCCCAGTGCTGGTTCGGTGCTGTGGGCCGCAGGCTGGGGCAGGGCTGGGGCAGGGCTGGGGCAGGGCTGGGAAGCCGCGTGAGCAGGACCGGAGCTGGGGGCAGGGCTGGACAGAGCGAGCTGCAACTAACTGTGTGGTGGGCCTCTGTACCTCACTGGGCCTGGACCTCCGCGTGGGGCTCCACCCAGGAGGCGCTTGGGGTGAGGCCAGAACGGGGGAGTGTGTCCATGCGCCGGCAGTGCGCCCTGGTGGGTGGGGGGTGCCCTGTCCCACTCCGGGTGCTGTTGGGGGAGCTTGTGCAGGGAAAAGTCATTGTCGGCGGCCAGGGTAGGGGCTTCGTCCTGCCCAATGCGCGTCTGGGGCCCGCGGAGCCCCGCGGCGCTGCTTCTGCGCTCCACTGTGCCGGTGGCCTCTGGCGCCCCCTGGTGTCGGCCCTGAGCTGGGCCAGGTGCAGCTCTCCCTTCAGAGGCAGCCAGCTGCGCCCCTGGGGGGTGGGGAAGCAGGGACGGGTGGAGGACCCCGGGCCTGCGGGAGGTGGGGGGCACCCTGCCACACGCCGGGGGCTGCCGGGAAAGGAGGGAGGACGCGGTGGCTCTGCTGGGGTCTGGTGGTCTCCCCCCCAGGGCCTCCCAGACTGCAGCCTACCTACCCAGGTTCCAGGCCGCGCCCCTACTGGTACCAGGGAGAGGCTCCCTGACTGCCAGGGTTAATGATCACCCTAGGTGTCCCCTGCCCCCTGCCCGGCTTAAGGATGGGGGAGGGGCGGGCAGAAGGGCCAAAGTAACCTCTGCCTAAACTGTAGGGGAGGGGGGCACAGACATGACTCATGGACATGTGCCAGCCCAGGAAGGCTTCCTGGTGGAGGGGATGCTTGAGTGAAGGTGTGCAGGGTGAGTTTGTGGAGTGCTGGGGGCAGCTGGAGGCGGGCAGGGGGCAGGGGGCAGGGCCGGCTGTATTCCTGGAAGGCACCAGCGTAAGAAGCTGGGGGTGATCATTAACCCAGGGCATGAAAGGTATCCCTGGCCCAGGGGTCAGTGCGTGGAAGGGCCTGGAGGCAGGTAGGTGGCAGGGCGGGGCCACCCCTGCTAGCTGGTCCTTGGGGCTTCCATGTCCTCAGGCAGCAGGGCTTCCCGCCCACAGGTGCCTGTCATCCCCATTGTCTACTCCAGCTTCTCCTCCTTCTACAACCCCAAGACGAAGCTCTTCAGCTCAGGTAACACCCCAGCCCCTGCATACACATGCAGCCTGGCTCATGCTTGCTTACTAGGATGCCCAGGCCCCTGATGGGACAGTTCCCGTTTCTGGGTGGTCACTGTAGGCCACTGACCAATTGGTGAGTGAAAGGAGGCAGGAAGGATCCGGAATTGCAGCTGCAAGCTGAGCTGGGCAGTCATGGGCCCGCTTCCCAGCAGAGGGGCCTACGGTACCCGAGTCCATGCACTGTGGCACAGGCTGGGCAGTGCTCCCAGGTGCCCTCGTGCCCACCGCTGTGGAGCTCGGGGGGCCACTCCCCCCCCCCCCTGGTCCTGGCCCTCCTGGTCCTGAATGTGGGCCCATAGGGCCTGGGTGGGAGGGTGGGGTCAAAGGTCGAAGGGCAGCAAGGGGGGGTGGAGCCAGGCTGTGTCCTCCCTCATCTAGGCCACCAAGGAAGATAGGACGGGGGTGGGTGCCCGGGAAGCGGTCGGGGACACTTCTGGGGGAGGGAATGCTCTGTACCCTGGGTGGGGCCCATCAGGGAGCATGTGGCTGTCAGAACCCACCAAAGGCAGACTTAGGAGCTAAGTGTTTGATTACGAGGATTATTCTCAATTAAAAACCAACACCTGGGACCAGGGTGTCCAAAATGGAACCAGGCTTGGTTCCTGGCCTGGGCCTTGGGTGGCTGCATGGAGAAAACCAGCAGGTGGCGGAGGAGCAGAAGGGCACTGGAGCAGGGACAGGAGGCTGCAGGGGTGCCAGGACAGCAGGCCTGGGTCAGGCGGCCAGGCACTGATGCAGCTCACCCCCAACAGGAACAATCAGGGTGGAGGTGCTGGATGCCATCCCCACCAGCGGCCTCACAGTCGCAGATGTCCCCAAGCTTATGGACACCTGCCACCAGGCCATGAGGACCACGTTCTTCCGCATATCCAAGATCGCCCAGGAGAATGGGGCCACTGCGGGGCAGGGCTCCTAGGCAGCCCAGTAGCCGAGGCCTGGCTGGGGCAGGGCCTGGCTAGAGATGGGACAGAGGAACCTCCTCCCTGCCCTGACAGCTGAACATCACTGTGTCCTACTCCTGAAGGTCCCCCAGCTTTCCTCTGGGCCCCGGATGCAGGTCCTGTCCCTGGTCCTGACGTCCCCCAGAGGAAAGTCTGGAGCCTTCCCCAGAAGCCCATCCTCATGCCTCAGGGACCCGGGAGCAGGCCTGGGGCCCAGTGGGGCTGGCGGGGCAGGGCTGAACTACATGGCCTGGGGCCTCCGGACGAGTGGCCAGAGTCTGGGCCTGCAGGCTTCATGGCCAGCCCTGGCCCTTGGGGAGAAGTGGGACTCTGGAGGTGAGGGGCACACATCAGTCTTGTGCAACCTGGACCTCAGGGGGAGCCTGGGAGCAAGCCTGCCAGACACTGCACTCCGTCCGTGTTTTTTAATAAACGAAGTCTCTGAGTGCCTGGTGAGCTGTGGTCACTTGGGGTGGGTGGGTGGCACAGCGCCTGGGGCTGCCGCGCCCCCGCTGGGGCTGCACTGTGGGAGCCTCTCCGTCCCTGGCGCCCCCCCCAAGGGCCAGGCCCCTGGTCACCCTGCGGTACACTTTCCTGGGGGTGGGGATATCCACCTAGATGGGGGCGGGCATGCTGCAAGTCAGGGAGGAGGATGAAGATTTGCTTCTTGGCTGCTAGCTGGGGGTAGAGCTACCTTAGCACCCAGAGATCAGTCTCTCCCAGAATCTACCTGCTCTCACCCTTTTGGAGAGAGAGGGCCAAGACCCCATGGAGGGGGCCCCCCCGCTGTGGCTGGATTCCCCTCTGTGCCCCACAGCTGCCTCTCCTTCCTTACACCAGCCAGCAGGCGGCCCCCATCAGCTTTCGATCACCCTCTAGAACCCACCCAGGACACCGCAGCTCCTGAACATTCATTTTATTCTGACGCAGATCAGAGGTGCCCCCGACATGCACCCCAGCAAGCGAGACCCTCGTACCATCCCTCAGCAACGGGTCCACCCACCGGTCGGGGTGCAGGGGTGCCGGCCTGGTGGGGCCCCTCCTCCCACCCTGTCTTGGCAGGCCGTCCCCCTCCTGCCTGACCCAGCACAGCGGGCACAGGCTCTCAGGAGCCAGAGCGGGGACCCCGGCCAGGCCTGTCATGGCTGCTTCTTGCAGGAACCTATGGACAGAGGAAGGAGTGGGGTCAGAGGTCACCACCGCTCCTCACCACCTCCCCTGAAGGCTATGGCCTCCTAGCCCCAGGCCCAGGTCCTGGCAGCTCTGTGGGGTGGGTGGCACTCACAGGACCCCAGCTGCTCCTCCAGGAAGGAGATCTGCTCACTCAAGGAGTCGATGCGGTCCAGCTGCTGGAAGGAGTGGGTCAGGAGGCTGCTGGGGTCTGGGAGCCCGTGCTCCAGGGCCCTAGAGGCCATGCTGTGCAGCGGGGCCAGGACCAACTGCAGCTTCTGTGGGCAGAAGGGGTCCTTGCTGTTGCACAGGCTCTTGGAGCCCTGAGGCCAGGAAGGGCTGTGCCCACCCCCAGACCCGGCTCCACGTGCGCAGCCCTGCATGTTGACCAGAGGGGCTTCTGTGCCGGGAGAACCAGGTGCTGGGCACAGATGGACACCACATTGTCCAGCTGGCAATGGTCCCCAAGGCCTGGGGCAAGGGGTCCCAGGGCCAGAGCTTCCAAGGACTCATCAGGTCACAGGGACAAAGGTAGGGGTGGGCTGGACACGACTTCAGGCTCTCTGTGCTGTGTGCAGGTGCACGGCCGAGCTCGGCCCCTCTTCTTTGCTACCCCTGCCCAGCCTGGGCTGTCAGTAGCCAGGATACCTCCTTCCTGGGGCTACCGTCACTGAACCCACAACCACCCTGAGGGTCTGATCCACACCAGGAGACAGCACAGGGCCTCACCTGTTCTAGCACATCCACCCTTGACCGCAGCCTCTGCACTTCCTCCTCTATTGCAGTGTCCACACCTGGGGAGATCCCAGCCCTGAGTCAGTCCCCGCACCCCGTACCCCACACCTAAGGCTGGCTTCTTGCCTCCATGGGGAGGCCCCTCAGCCTCAGCTGAGTGTGGGGCGCAGCCCTGGTGATGGGAGATCAAGCCCCAGCTGCCAGGAGCCCCGCCCCATTATAGGCCGGCTGGAATGTCCGGGCGGTGGCCCTGCATGTCAGGGCACCCTGGGCAGGTACACCCACCCTGCCTACCCCTCGGTGCCAGAGTCCCTGCTGAGCTGTCCAAGCTGAGGTCCATGTCGCACTCTTGAGGCCAGGCTGCCGACAGCGCATTATTACTCACGGTACGAGTTTGAAGTGTCACAGCGCGTACCAAAAGTAATAATGTCCCGTCGCCAGCAGAGGCGTGGTGTCTCCCAGCTGCCGAGGCAGGGACACAGAGAAGACCCTGGGTAGGGGCTTTCTTCCACCCTCATGGCTGAGATGAGGTCCCCCCAGCGACCCTCCCTACATAATGCCCCCAAGGAATCACCACCCATCTTTCCCCTGGGGGAAATGGCCTGTGGCCCCCGGCAGCCCCCACTGCCCAGCACAGATCTACGGGGTGATGCCCCTCTGGCCCCCCTCCCAGGCACAGCAGCAAGGATTGGGAGGGGCAAGCGGGAAGTTTACCTGCTGTGGGGTTCGGGGCTACCCTTGGGGTCCCCCTCTCGGGCAGGCAGAGCACACCATCTGTGGATGGGTTGTGCCCCTCCCGACACTGACACCAGTAACTCCCGGCGGTGTTGACGCAGCACTGGGGACAGCTGCTCCCTCCAGCACTGCACTCGTCGACGTCTGCAGGAAGGCGGGTGCTGCTGAGCCCCTCAACACCCGCCCATCAGGGGGCCACCCCAGGCACCCAGCGAGAGGCCACAGGGAGGACGGGAACCAGCCTCACCTGTCTGGCAGGTGTTGCCCTGCCATCCTGCAGGGCAGTGACAGCGGCCTGGCTGGACACAGCTCCCCCCATTCTGGCACGGTGGCTGGCATATTGCTGTTGAGGGGGAGGCCCATCACAAACTGAGGAGGGGTCCCCAGGGCCTTGCAGGGGTGGCAGCCAGGGGAGGGGTGCCATACGGTGAGGAGGCATTCCACTCAGGCAAAAGCGGCAGGTGCTCCGCCCGGTGTCCAGAGGGTGGGATGGACTGCTGCCTCACCAGGTCTTGGGGGCCCTGGGGCAGCCTGCACCTCTCACCTGCTCCACAGGCCGTGGGGTGCCCGCTGGTCCTCTTCCAGCCAGGGCAGCAGGCATAGCGAGGCCGGGGGGAGGCCGGCCCAGGGCTGTGGCGGTAGGCTGTCCTGTAGATGGTCCTGGGGGGCACGGGGGGGGCAGCGAGTCACCGGCAGCACCAGCTGGTCTGCCTGGTGTGTACCTTCCCTTCCCTCCCAGGGCACAGGAGTCCGTGGGTGCTGAGGGCGCTCCCGACCCCTCCCCTGAGCAAGTGGGGAGGAGACGTGTTCATAAATGGGGCTCCGCCAGCCCCTTCTCTGCCAGCCCCTAACTGGGCCCCACCCACCCTGCCCTCACCTGCTCTGCCAGTGGAGGGGACCCCACGGGAAGGTCTTTGAGAACCCCACAGAGAACAAAACATCTTTAAACCACATTTCCACAGCTCAGGACCGGAGGAGACATGCCCCCTCACACGGGCGGTTAGGCCATGGGAATGGCCGGGGTTGGGGGGGTGGGTTGTGGCACCAGGGTCTCCATCTGTGACCATCAGGGGCCTCTTGGGGAGAGGCTCCCACTGGAGCTCTGAGGCGGGTTTCTGGGGAGGCAGCCATCATCTCAAACGTGTAAGAACTCGTAGCCAACACCCCAAAAGCAGAGGGCAGGAGACCGGGAGGGCAAACCCTCCAAAGATGCGGGGAGCACAAGTGCACCCCGGTGAGGATGCCTGTAGTTACTAAGACCGCCCAGTGCAGAGCCGGTGTCAGCCTCTGCCATCTACTCACATGGTCCTGGGGAGTCCCTGTGACCATGCTGGGCCCGGGCTCCCCACCTTGGGGCACACTGCCCTCCTGGGCCCCAGGTGGCCGAGTGGCAGATGGGGAGGGGCACTCACCGGTAAGTGCTGCAGGCCCGGTGACCATCACAGGTGGTGAGGAAGGGCTGGTACACTCGCTGCACAAAAGACTCAGACTCAGGGCCCCTGGGAGCCCCGATGGCACACACCCTGCGGCTACAGAGCGGGGAGGCCAGCAAGTCAGTCTCACAGCTTCCAGCCCTGCGCCCAGACCCTCCCAGCCCCGCAACCAAGGGAGCCAAGAACCTGAGGAAGGGGCTTCCTGGCGCCACCACAGGAAAGACTCTCAGCAAGTGTGAAAACCACAGGACCAGCCCTGGGTCCCCGAGTCCTGGGGTTGCCCTGAGGGCAGCTGGCTGCCCACCCCCACCGTGGCGGCACCTTGAGGCCTGAGCCCCCCACGGCTCTGACTCACCCAGGCCGGAAGACGTGCTCAGTACCACCCACTGCCAGCACCAGAAACCACAGCAGGAGCAGCTCCCTAGAGTCACACATGGCCCACGTCTTCAGGTGCAACGGCCTTCTCCTCCGGGTGGCCTGCAGCCAAAGGCACAGCCCCATAAACCCGTCTGCAGACCCCTCCTCACCCCATGCCTCTGGGGGAGGCTGTTCCCTGGCCCAGTGTAGCCACTCTGATGGCACCGCCCCCTGCGGCCTCTGGGGGGGGCGGGGAAGCCCCCAAAGACAGAGGCAGTTCCCCCTCCTCCAACCTGCCTGCCCCTACAGGTCACAAGCAGCCTGGAACCACATAAGGGCCACGATGGCAGGAACAGAAGCACACCCCTGCCCCCCCCCCGACCCCCGCCTGGGGCCAGAGGCATCATCTGCAGCTCCTGCAAAGTTCACTTGAGGAGGTGGGGGCCCAGGAGAGCACCTGGACCAGCTCTCCCTGCCCTGGTTGGACATAGCACCCTTGTGTCCTGGCCAGGCAGTCCCCACGTCAGTCTGCACGTGGGTGGTGGTGGTGGGAACAGCCAGCCCAGGGCCTTGTCCTTCTGGCCTTCAGTGTCTTCATTTGCAACGGGGAGCCATGGGGGAGGCACGGGAGTGTATGAAGGGTGCAGGTGCTCCATATGAGGAGCCATATGGTCCCTCTCAGAGTGAGGCAGAGCCTGCAGGAGATGGAGTCACTCCTGTGCTGGGGTCCCACCGGTCTGGTCCAGGGCTCCCAGGACAGTGTGGGGGGAAGGGGGATGACTGGAGCAGCCCTCCCCACATGCCAGTGGAGCCAAAGCCATCCCTCTGTCCTAGGGAAGGGGCACAAATGCCGGGGACCTGAGGAAGCATTCATTCCTCGGAATGTGAGAAAGCCCAGCCCAGAATTAATGGTCCGCCTACCTGCAGAGGGGCCTGTGTGGTGGGCTGGGGATAGGGGTGGGGGGTGCTGCCTTGCACACGCAAGGCTCCAGGCACCCCATCAGAGGCCCCCAAGGGGCTGACTTCCATCCAAGTGGGCAGCCCCTGGCCCTGCAGGGCATCCAGCAGGAAGGACACAGAGGATAGCTGGACTGCTGTGTGGCAGAAGGTAGAATCAAGGGAGGGTCTCCCTGTCTCTGGAACTCGGTTCCCTCAGATACCACTAGGGTCTCAGAGGCCCCTTGTCCAGCCCCGATAGCTGGCCCCATGAAGAGTGACCACCATGGGCACTAACTGAGCCCTCAGGCCTGCCAAGCCAAAGCCCAAGGGGAGGGTCCACATGGCCGGCCCGCAGTGGATCCTTGCTCTGGTCCCCTGTACTTCATGGACCCGGGGAGGCGGGAGGCAGCTGGGGGCGGGGGGGGGAGAGTCCTCTGTGAACCCCCTGTTCTCTGTCGGTGGCCCAAGCAGCAAAGCCAAGGTGCCAGATCTTAGTTTGGGGACAGTGGGGGTGCTTCTCAGCAGTTCGGGGCAGGGGCATGTCCTGTGGGTCAGGGTGCTCTGGGAGCAGGCCCAGGGGGAGCACACGACTAGGGGCACTCCTGGGGGTCTCAGCAAGAATTGAAACTACGGGAACAGGTGGCACAGGGCCCTGGGAAGGTAGGGGTGGGTCCAGGGCCCTGGGTGGGGGAGGGGGAGCTGGGTAGGAGCATAGCAGGGCTCCACAGACCCTGTGCTTACCTGCGCTGGGTAAGGCCCAACTCTGCGAGGCCAACTGCCCCGCGGATACCACCCTAGCACCTCCCCTGCCCATGGAAAGCTGCTTACAAGGGGACCATGCTTTAAAACAGGAGAGACTCAATTTCTCAAGTCCTGCCCTCTGGGGCCGCAGGAGGCCAATGGCGCTACCTCCCCGGTGCTGGCCTGGCAGTCTCATTTCCCTCTGCAGCCCAGCTGGGCGGGGGAGATACGGCGGGGGTGGGGGGTGCGGGTGGCCGCAGCGCCGCAGCTGAGAAGCAACTGTGTCCCCTCCTCCCTGAGGGTCAGCAGGAGCCCATCCTGCCACCTCCTTCCCCAGCCACCTGCCCGAGCTGCAAGCTCGCGGCGGCCCACCGGGAGGGCTGGCTCCGCAGAGGGAGGGGCCTGACTCTCCGCACCGCGGCGGCCCGGAGCAGGGGCGGGGGGGGGGGTTGCTCTGGACCCTGGGAGGGCAGAAAGGCGGGTGACAGGAGGCGGGGGGGGGGCGGGGGGCGAAGCGTCCCCTCCGCCGCCGGCCCCAAGCCGCCCGTCCTCCTGCACGCCAGATCCCCGGGGGAGGGGGCGAGGATGGAGAGAGACACGGGGTCTGGGGCCGGCGAGGCCCCGGGCCAGGCCCTGCGGGTCGCTCAGGCCCCGGACGCGGGTGCGGGGCTGCGCCGCGCCCCTGGCCCGGGCCCCGGCCCCCACACCCCCAAGCGGCCCGGCTCGGAGCCTGGTGCCGGCAGGGGGCGCCCTTTCCCGGGGCCCCTGGGCCCATTCTCGGGACCGGGCGCAGGATCCGGGCAGAGCCGGGGGTCATGTTCCGGCGCGGCCCCCCGGCGCTCCCGGCCCGCTCACCTCTCGGCTCCCCGCGGTCGCTCCGCGTCGCCCCCCAGCTCCGCGCGCGCCCCGGCTCCCGCCCTCCCCCGCCCCCGGCGCGCGGCGAGCAGACCCCGCCCCCCGCGCTCCCCGCGCTCCCCGCGCTCCCCGCGCTCCCCGCGCCCCCCGGCCCGGCGCTCGCTCCCTCCGCACTCACCGCCCGAGCCGGGCGCGCACGCGCCGCCGCCGCCGCGGCGCCGAGGGGCCCCGGTCCCGCCCGCCGCCCCGCCCCGACCCCGCCCCGGGGGGGGGCCGAGCGCCCCTCCACCCCGCCCGCCCCCATTGAGCAGATGGGGACACTGAGGCCGGCGGCGGACCGCGCCCCGCGGGCAGGCCCATGAGTAGCTCGAGTGCGCTGTCCCTCCCCAGCCGCTCCCAGGCCCCCAAGGCCACAGGAGACACAGGACCGAGGCCCCCAAGGCCACAGGGGACGCAAGACCGGGAGGTGGGTCAGGTGCCTTCAAGGCTGTGTGGGGCGGGGGCGGGGGCGGGGGGGGGGGCTAGACCTCCCAGGCTGAGCGCCAAACCGAGGATGGCCGTCACAACCGGGTGAGCAGCTCCCTAGGCGTCAGGGCCTGACCAAAGCTGGCCACTAGCTCGCAGCCACACGTAGGATGGACGTAATGACCCCCAAGGCAGAGAGACGCCGTACTTACACCAGCTGGCACGGAGCGCTGTGGCTGGCAGAGCCTGCCAGGACCCTAGATACCCCACTAAGCGTCCCTCCCAACCAGTGTGCCAGGATGGGGCTCCACAGGACTCCTGCTGGGCACCCCCTTTGTTCAGGACAGCCAGGACCACCCTTAGGCCCTCAGAGAGTCCCACTCACCCTATGGTTATAGTGGGGGCCTCCCAGGCTCCAGCAGCCCCAGGTGGCAGCAGTGCCCACCAAGAGAGGTGGCTGGCACGCTGGAAGCAGGTGCAGGCCCCACCTAGGAGCTCTGGTGTGATTTGGGTCCTTCCATACCACCGTTATCACAGCCCTCATCATGTGGGAGGCGCAGGCCAGCCCCTCTGCAGCTTCTGCCCTGGAAGTGGAGCCTGCGCCCTGGTCTCCTAAGCGCATGTGTGTGGACAACACCCCCAGGCACAGCCAGACCCCCTGCCTCTGCCCAGAGCTTGCTGTGGGACTCACCTGCAGAGGGGAGCTCTGTCATCCCCTGGACGCCAGTGGCAGCTGCTCTTCTGAGTGGCGGGGGCCGCGTGTACCTCCCTTGTGCTGGGGTCTGCAGGTTGGAGGCATGTTGTGGGTTGGCGCACAGCCTTGGTCACCCTGATGTCTGGGCACTGGGAAGGGGGCTAGGCTGTGTGCCCCAGTGGGGCCTCCACCTGCGTTTGGCCTAACAGATCTCCACCCCCACGATGGCCGAAGCCCAACGGGTCCAAGCTCTGCTTGTGGCTCACATTCTCGGCCTAGAGGCAGAGGCGGCCTTGCCCTGGGTCCCAGGAGATGGGGATGGACAGATTGCTGGGCATGAAGCTGAAAGACCTCAAAGCCCCAGGGTGAGGGTCCTTCATGGGCAAGGGGAGGGCCTGTTGCAGAGCCAGTTGCTCCAGGGTGTCGGGCTGGGGCCTACTTCGGTGCATGGAGCTAAAGGAAGGGCCCCAGATAGCTGAACAGAAAGCCCCAGAATGAGGGGGCCCTGGAAGCTGCCAGCAGATGGCCTGGGGGCAGCTGGGGGTGGGGGCTGTGGCTGGGACGCCTGTAATCGTGAAAGCAGGGTCCTATGACTGAAGGGCTTCAGGTCCTGGGCCCCACACCTGAGTGGGGCTGCCTCCCCCAGACCCAAGCAGTGAAGAATTAAGAGCCAGACCTAAGGGAGACCTTCCCCACCCAGTCCCTTGCCCCCATCCTGTCCCTGACCCTCTGAGTCCTGCAGCCTGGCTGGGTCCCTAGTCCTCACAGTGCTACTAACCCAGGCTAAGGCCCCATTTTCTGCTTCTTCATCTGAACCCCGGGGCTTCCCCACACAGACAACTACTGTGGCCCGAGAGGCCTCCATTGGGCTGGGGTCTTTGGGTGGGGACTCGGAAACTCTGGGCAGTGGGGGAGAGAAGGCAGGGGCTCCCCTACGGTCTGCGGTGGGTCGGCCCTCTGCCTCAGGACCCCACCCATGTCCCTGAAGCCAGCCCAGAAGGAAGCGAGGGGCTCCTTCTGGTCCCATTGTCCAGGGCACCCAAGGAGCATGGCTCATCCTGGCTGCAGATTTGGCTTTGGGGCTCCACTGCATGAGGCCAGAGCCCCCTGCCTCCTCTCCCAGATCCATGCCATGAGTGCTTGCCCACCCTTGGGGATGGTCCTAGGACCCCCGGCTCTGACAGTAGAGCCAAGCCAACCTTAGGGGCTTCTCCAGGACAGCAGAGTCAGCCAGAAGGGTGTGTGAAGGGGAAGTCGCTGTGGCTGCTGGGCCCCCCAGGGCTAAGCATCCCAGCTGGGCAGGCAAGAGTCAGTCTAGACTGGGACACCTGCCGCAGGTGCCCTTGGCCAAGGGACCTGAGTGTCCTCCGTGCAGTGGGAACGGCACCATTAGAGAAAAACGCGGTGGTGGCCAGAGGGCAGGATGCAGAGCTGCATGGGCACATGCCTGGCCGACAGGTTGGCAGGAGCTGAGGGGTGCTCACCCTGCCCGGGCTGCTCCCTGCCCCCCCAAGGCAACCCCCACCATACCTGATCCTGCCCGGGCCCGGGCTTGGCCCTGGCCCCCATTGCTGTCTCCTCAGGCCAGAGGTGGATCCTCCCCCTGTCCGGCCGCCCCAAGGCGCCTGCAGAGGCCACCTGCCTGGCCTGACCACTGGAGCGTCCATCTGGGCTGTGTGGACAGCCGTCTCCGGGCAGGGAGGCTCCTCCCGGGGCGAGGAAGGGCGGCTTTTTATGCTCCATCCCGTGTAAATCAGGATTGGGATGGGCCCTTCCCGGCCGGACTTCCTGTGTGTGTTCCTCGCTGATAACAGGGAGCTGTCAGCGAACAAACAGGAGGCCCAGGGACGGGTGGGGGCCATCATGGGGGTGGCCTGCCCAAACTGTGGGCAGGGGTGGGGGAGCTGTCCCCTGGGACTTCAGCGTCTTATTGTGAGGCAGCCAGAGACCAGGCGCAGGCCTGGCTGGTGACCCTGGACCCTGCTGGCCTCGGTATGAGATGGAGGACGGGGCACTCTGGGAAGGCCCTGGGCCTGGCCACCTGGTGGCACCACGGCCACGCTACTATAGATCCACAGAAGGGACCTTTTTTTCTGTGACCTTGGCCTCTCCCCCAGGGCATGCGCCTGCACCCCAGATGTGTATGGCACAGTGTGGGGATGTGGAGGGACCATGGCCCTGGGAGGGGGCACCCAGCCACAAGAGACCTGGGGTTGAGCAAGGTGGGCTGGTGGTCAGAGGACAGCTGCATGTGTCCCTGGGGCCTAGAGTGGCTTGGTGGGGGTGGCAGGGAGGGGCAGTCACCTCGCAGACTCAGGCCTTCTCCAGGGAAGGGCTACTTGATGGGGCGGTGAGTCCCCTGCTCCTGGAGACAGGCCAGCAGTGTCCTCTCTTGGGGGCAAAGCATGTGCACTGGCCCTCTTCCCTCTCTTGGCCTCTACAGCCTGAGTGGTGCTAAGGGTGGGGTGGGGGAGTGCAGGGCCTCTGGGTGGCCACAGGGCCTGTGTCCGCAGTTTGGCCAGGTGGTTTACCCCCAGCCCCTGGACTGGTTCCTGGTTTCCTTGTTGAGGTGATGCCAGGGACCCCCAGGCCAGCTATCCGTTGCTGTGAGAGTGGGTGGGGGCCCGGGGGGAGTGGGGCAGCAGCTGAGGATACACCAGACCCCACAGGTGGCCAAGAGTCCCGGATCAGGCAGGGCCGCTCTAAACCCCTTCTGGTCGTCCTGGGGGTTTGAGCCCTGCTCTGGAGTCAGCCCCTGCCTGCCCCCCCGCCCAACCTGGAACACCCTCTGCTTGCCCTCACCTCCCTCCAGCCCCACCCAGCTGAACACCCCAGCCAAGAGGGAGGTGGGGGGCGGCTTGGATAGTCCGGGAATGCTGAGCACAGGAGGGACCAGCGTCCTCCACGTCCTCATGGCTCAGGGAGGGTCTGCCATGGGTGCAGGGCTGGGGCAGGCAGGTGGAGCCCCCTGCCCGGCCTGTCCACCCCCCACCCCCGCCATCCCTTCCCCACAGCCCACACTGGCTGAGTGTACTTGACAGAGTATAGGGTCCAAGCTGGGCTCTAACCCCTCTACCTGCCGCCCTCCGACCCACACCCAGAGATGGGCTCTGAGCCCCTGGTAGAAGAACCAGCACACCTCAGGGCTTTTGTGTACAGACAGAGAAACCGAGGCCCAGGAGAGGGAGGAGACTTGCCCCAGGGGAGCAGCGAGACAGAGACAGGCTGTGATGGCTCAGGACCAAGACAGCTGCTCTCCTTTCTCAGGGGAGCCTCCCTCAGGGGGCAACCCCCAGTTCTCAAACCCTCCCCCCCGGGGGGTGGATATGGAAGTATAGCTAATGAGCCACATGTGTGGACGGTGAATGGCTCAGCCCTCTCTTCAAAGCTTGGGCACATTAGAGAACTTTCTGGAAAGATTCCCCAAAGCACAGAGGTGCAAGACAAACATGGGGAGAGGATGAAATGCCAGGCCTCCCCAGGCCCTGGGTGCCAGCCGGGGGGGGGGGCCCTGGCTCTGCCCACTGCCCACCGGCTCTGTGCCTCCCCCAGGGGTCCACACTTCCCTCCTGACCTGCCCCTTCCTGAATTGGGATCAGAACCAGTCTGAGGGAAGGAGGCCTGGGATCAGGGTGCCCAAGGAGCAGCCTCACTCTGACTTGTCACACCCGGCCATGTTCTCCACTATCATCCCCCCACTCCGGGGGCTTCAGGGGGGCTAGGGTCCATGGGACTCAGCTTCTCAGGGACTGTGGGGGGCAAGGGCAGGGGGTACAGGGGGAGAACAGAGATGGAGCTGACACCTGCTTGGACTCCAGGAGGTCTGGGGGCCTAGAGAGGGATGAGGTGTGCTGTCTGCCCCACAGGCCCACCCCTAGGTGCTGAATGGGTGGAAGGGTCTCCACCTGGGGGGGGGCCGGGACCACCCTCCCTCCAGCGGAGCAGCCCCTCCTCCCACCTCTGGTGGCGCCCATTTGGGGAATACACAGCCTGCCCGCAGGGAATCACCTGTGGGAGGAGTCAGTGCTGTGCGTCCCCTGAGGGCAGGACGTCCCAGGCTGCAGAGAAATGGTTCTAGCTTTGCTTCCTGTTGCTGGAGGCTCTGGGCCTCAGTTTCCCCTTCTGCCCTCCACCCCAGTCAGTAGGGCAGGATGGTTGCAGCGGTCTCTCTGCCTGTCTGTGAATATTCTGAAGTGTGTTGGAAAGGGGTCTTGCTGCCTTACCTTCCCTGAGCGTTTGGCCAGGCGGCGGGGCACGGCGGAGATCAGCCAGGGCCTCCGGGGTCCTCCTGGGACCCTCTCAGGACCCCTCACCACTGAGCTTTTGGTCTCTGCAGCCCCAGGAGAGGGTAAACCAAGCCTCTCTCAGGGGCCGGCGCAGGCATGTCAGAGCGCGAGGCAGAGGGGCACCGGGCGAGGCGCGCGCTGGGCTGCAGGAAGGAGCAAGCCAAGCCTGGAGCAGGGAAAGATGGGGCTTCCTGTCCACCCCCCAGCAGCCCTGGCCTCAGGATATGGCGGCTCTGTCGGCCACGGCGGGGTCCGGCTTCACACCAGATGTGCTGAGCCTTCACCAGGGATGCGCCTGGCCCAGTGACCTGTGCCTTGTGGGGGCTGGGTACCCCTGGGCTGGCTCAGCTGTGTAGACCTACGTTGAGTGAGGTCCCAGAGGGAAGTGGAGGTTTCTAGGGGGGCCCGGGGTCTGCAGTGCTCTGGCTTCCACCCCCTGCCCACCGCCCCCTGCTCGGCATGCCTGTTGGAAGCACCCTGTGCCAGGCTCCATACGTAGCACTCACGAGAAAATGCAACTGAGGCCCACAGTTGCTTGTCCGGGGTCAGCCCTGGAAGCCCAGAGTGGGGAGTCCGGGGGGGGCCCAAGCAGCGGGAGACCCTGGGGGGATGCCTGGTCCTTCTCCTCACTGCCTCCTGGGCCCCACTAACTGGGTACTGCCCAGCATTCATGACAACCTTCCTGCTGCTGGGGCACCACCGCTCAGGCCAGAGGCCCAGGGCACAGACTCTGCCCCAGCTTTGGGCCCCCAGAACACGTGCTCCCTGCCTGGGGGACCTCCTCCTCAGCCTACAGGGCACCCCTGACTGCACCTCAATTCTTAGGGAGCTTTGCGAAGGGTGACCTCTGACTACTGGACACCTGAAGGCTTCCCATGCCCTCGGGACCACGTCTGACCCCTCACAGCTGTGGCCTGATCCTCCTTCCTGAGCACCAGCTCCATGGAGCCAAGAGGGACCCCATCTGCCTCACTGACACGGAGACAGAGCTGGCCCCTAGCTGGTGTGCCAACGGCTGTGACAGGCCCCACGGGCCACTTGCCAACACCCTGCCCAGACAGGCACCCTGCCCAGAGGTGGCTTGCATGTGTGCTTTGCTGTGGACATATGCACGAGGGTGAGCGTGCATGGGAAACTGGCACCCCTCCAGGAGATGCCCCCCATCCCAGCCTGGGGCTCCCCTCCACTCTCGTGGCATTGTTCCACCTGCTTTGCGGCCATGGCAATGCACAGCGCCCCAGGGGTCTGGCCCCTCCCACTCCACTGTGTGTCTGTGGACGGTGAGCACTGCCATGTGGGTAGTGGCATGCGCCTCCCCTGGGCAGCCCTACTCTACCGGGAAAAGGGAGCAGGGCACACGCACTGCTGGCTTTGGCTCTTCCCAGCCTGGCTGCTTGGGACACATCAGGTGCAGCCTTTTAGCATCTCTTGGGGGCCTGTACCGGGGACAGTCTCCGGGGAAATTGCTGGTCCCACTAGTCACATGAAACCAGGGACCACCCAACAGGACCCCAGGTCACCCCATGAGGTCTGAGGTGCTTGGGGTGCCTCGTGCCCTTGTTGGCACTTGCTACTGCCTGTGTCTTATTTTGGCCATTCTGATATTTTGCTGTGGTATCGCTGTATTAGGATTTCTTGAATGTAGAAAGAAAGACTCATTTTATAGAGGAGACACCGGGTGGGGTGATAGCCATTGGGGGGGCCAAGTGCTCCCAAGGGCGTCGAGCTCCAGCCTTCTGCTTGGCACGTCCCCAGGGTGCTGCGTCTGGGCAGTGGAGGTACAAGGGGCCACCTGCTGCGGTGTGCACTTAGGGATCCCCCTGGGTTTCTTCTGCTGTGAGTGTGCATTGTGTCCTCGGCTACCAGCAGCCTCTGTGAAACATTCACCTCCTCAGCGCGGGGGCTGTGGGCCATGCTGGGGTCAAGCCCCCAGGATGGGCATCTGTGGCTGGGCAGGCAGGGAGAGCCTCTGCAGGGCCCAGGTGCCCCCCACTCACCCAGTGCTGAGGCCAGGCCCTGGAGGGTCGTGTTTGGGGTCCTTAGCCCCAAAGCCGGGTTTGTCCCAGTGCTGGCCTCGTTTGGAACCCAAGCTTCCCCAGGCCGTGGAGGCCGCCCCCGCCCGGGGGCTCCCTCTTTGGTGGGGGCTGAGGAAGAGGGGCTGGCCCTCCCCTCCTGGCTCCCTGGACAGAAGCCCCACTCATAGTTGGGCTGCAATTTGCCAAGCCTGGCGGATGGGGCGGCAATTAACGTGCAGGGGAAAAAACACTTTATCTCCCGGGACGGAAAGGGAAGCTCCTGGGAAGGGGGCAGGTGGATGCCGTGGGCGAGGGTCCAACCCTGCCTGAGGGGGCCATCCTGTCCCCGCCACCCTGCCCACTCAGGAAGAGCCGGGAGCCGGGTGCTCTGAGGCTAATGGG